AGTATAGTTGACTGATTTTCAAAGTGTTGTATTATTATATTCTTACAGACCGATATTTGAAATTTCACATGCATGTCAAGTTACAATAAATATATGGGTAATAATTGAAACTTTTCTGCTTTTATACTCAGTTTTCTGTCCACTGATAGTCACATTTTTTAGCAGGGTGGCTGACAAGGATTGGGGGGCTGATTTCAGAAAGCTATCCGCCGGGGCTGCTTTGGTTGCCCTAACTTTATGGCTTGACCACATGCAGGTAGGGTTTCCTCCTTTGAACTTCCTACTTCTGTGGCTAATAAACTACTACCTCCGTCCCAGCTTAAGGTTCCTGTTGCAAAATGGCATAATTATTTAGACAATTATATTTTGTGAAATAGTTTTGATGAGTATATAATGTGATGGGGTCATTGATGATAATTGTGATGTTATAAATGCATTATTATTAATATTTGATGATTAATCTGTCATTAGAGAGTGTTAATTATTATTTCCTAAAATGGAAATGAGAACCTTTAGCTGAGACGATGGGACTAATTTAAAAGGTCCGTAACTTTGTACTTTGTGAGTTCATTTCCTTGTTACTACACATTTTTACTATAGAATGCCTGCTTCAAATATTTATTCATTGCACAGGTAAGTTACTAACTTCAGTTTTGATTCTGAGTGCATAATAAATACTCCGTAATAAATACATTAGAAACTTGAAAGTCGACATGATGGATTAAGTTGAAAAAAATTAAGTCTTTTTTTGGTACTACTTTCCTCATAACCTATTTGATATAAAAAAATGTTTGGTGTACACCTTTTTGTGTACACCATTCGCATACGACATACCTTGTCTTTCTACACAGGCAGAGTTATCAGACAACTTCTGTATTTCCAAACAAATTGTGTTATACAGACAAATTGTCTGTGTAGTCTGACAAGGTGTGCAAATGGTGTATACGAAAGGGTGTACACCTAGCATTTTGTATTTGATATAGGAGTGTAATCCGATGTGACCGTGTCCTGGTTATCAATGTGCCTTAACATTACACAACTTGTGTTGTTTCTGAACCCTACTGGGATTCTGCAGGATGCTTCACTGGAGGGTTTCCCTGAATCATCAAAATTTGTTGTCTTGATCACCAGTACAGCGGAATACAACGAGGTATCATTGAACAGTACATTAAAGGCATACCTCTGGGAGATGGGGTCTCCATTTCTCCCTTGTAAAACCCGAACTGGAGTGTTGGTAGCCAAAGGCCATTCCTTACGATTGTGGCTAAAGGATTCCCCATTTTGCTTGGATCTTGAGTTGAAAAATAGAACAACAGAGGCAGAGGCTAACTCGATGCACTTAATCGATGGTTGTTTTATGAGACGTGGTCTTGTTCCAGCCTACAAGGACATAAGCGAGCGGCTTGGGATTGTTAGCCCTAAGAAGTTCTCAAGGCTTGCTTTGCTTCCAGATGAGGAAAGGAAGAGAGTTATTGAAGTCGACATTCAAGGGCGTAAAGAGAAGTTAGCCAAGTCGAATGAAATTGGGACAGTAAAAAAGAAGAAAAGATTCATCAGGCAGGCTAATCCATGAACAAGGTACACCAGGGTGTCAAAAGCCCCCCCACCCCCAACTCTTCTCTTTCACTGTACTGTTTTATACCCATGGACTGATGTCATCTTTGATTTTCTTTTATTGCTATTGTTACCACCACCACCATCATCATTGTCCTTGTCTCCGGCTATCAGCAGATGATAAGTCAGGTGTCAGCTCTCACACAAGTTCAACAAGCTTGATGATATGGCTTACTGCTGCAGTTGGTTAGTTCACATTTATCTAGTTTTGTTCTCTCTTTTCCAAATTTCAACGAAGCTCTCTTCCATTTTTCTTTGAATTGTGAATTTATCTGATGATTTTATCTCCACCCCAGAAACTGCTCTCATCTCATGTTGGTGGTCTCCGATACCTAGTGGGGCGAAAGAATTACAAGGTCGATCAAGTGTTTCTACAAAACCTGCCCACAAATCTAAAGGTAGTTGTCATGGCCTGTGCTCTCTTTCTCTTGAAAGATCAAATTGGATGTTACCCAAGTGCCCCCTTGCACCCGTTCTCCCCTGCGGTAAGGGGGGAGGTATTTCAACTGCTGAGGAATTTATTCATGCTAACTGAATCTCACTGCCCTCTTGCTTGCCCATTTCACATGACAGGTCATGGGCTCATTTGGGTCTACAGTGAACAGATTAGGAAGCGGACAATGTAGGCATGCATATATGCCATCATATTTGGGGCATGCATATATGCCATCATATTTTGCAAAAAATGGGGTATTTATTTAATAAATCAATAATTGCCGTTCATTCTTACTAGTAGTATTCTGGAAAAGAGAACATCAGATGCAGTCAATGGAAGGTAAGGGCCTGGCAGGTGTTATTTGATTTAACTTTTCTGCTAATGGCGGAAATCAACAGTTTTGTCAATTCTCCTTGTTTTCGACTGTACTAAGTTGTAACTCGTAAGGGGATCAAATGGAACGCAATAAAGATGAGACCAAAAAAATTAAGAGTAACTTCATATGTGTAAAAGGACATTATTGGTACTTTGACAGAGAATGACACACAGTCCTACCAGACAATTTCATTCATTTTTTACTTTGACCGAGAATGACGCACAAATGTTTTTACTTGGACTGTTTTCAAACCCAAAAAGACCAGACCAGACTTAAATAGATCAGATTAGACCAGACTTAAAAAGATCATACCAGACTTTCGTAGTTATAAAATACACAAAGACCAGACATTCACCACCAGAGTAGACTTTCGTAGTTATAAAATACACAAAGACGATACATTCACCAGATCAGACCAGTTCAGATCAGACCAGATTTAAATGGACTAGACTAGACCAACAAATTTCAGTCCAAGTAAAAACACCAAAATCTTGTAGTGTTATTCTTTTTATTTTGGAACTTTTTGAAGATGTAAGAAACAATAAAAAACCGAAGTCTTAAAACGGTAAGAATAGTAGTAATATAATCATGAGTAACATTTACAACTTGGGCTTGAGCTTGGTACAGTGCAAGGATGTGTAACTCGTGGACTGGAAGAACAGAAGGTTAAACTTTTTTCAAGAGATAAAAAAATGTTGTTACAGACCTAGTCTATACTAGGCCCATTCCGGTGCCATAAGCTCAGGTGTAGAACTCACTCCTAAAAGATCAGCCGATTAGGAGGATGGAACACCTTGCTTATAAGCCACCGGTCAAGCCCATACTTGACCGGTGTGGGATCGTAAAAATACCCCACGCTTCGAAGAGCCAACGTCCTCGTTGGTCACAGTTGGCACCCCCCAGGGTCCAAGCCACCACTCCATAGGTCACCACTCCGAGTGTCGGGACTAGAAAGAAGGGGACGGTTCTGATACCAATTGTTACGGACCTGGTCCATACTTGGCCCATACTAGTGTCATAATTCCAAGTGTATAACTCACTCCTAAAAGACCAGCAGATTAGAAGGAGGGAACACTTTGCTTACAAGTCACCGGTCAAGCCCATACTTGACCGGTGTGGGATCGTAACAGGGAGTGTATGTGCTCATATTACACTTTCCCAAACAAGAATAAAATAACTACTTGCATCACCCCCTTCCCATCATTCTCTTGTGGGATAAGGGTCAGATAGGGCCTCGAACTTAGAAAAAAATGTCAAATAAGGCCATATTTAGGATGCTATGTCCGGTTGACGCCATTTGGGGCGGTTCCCGGTGGAATTTTTTGATGAAATTTTTTGAGAATCTTATTCATTAAGTCTAGTTTACTCATATCAAATTTGAACTAACAATTCAATCGGGAAAGCATTCAAATGAATTTTTGAAGATAACTGTGCTTTTAACTGCACAGTTATCTTCGAGAATTCATTTGAATGTCTTCCCGGTTGAAGTTTTAGTTCAAATTTGATATGAGTAAACTAGACTTAATGAATAAGATTCTCAAAAAATTTCATCAACAAATTCCACCGGGAACTGCCCCAAATGGCGTCGGCCGGACAGAGCATCCTAAATATGGCCTTATTTGACATATTTTTTCAAGTTCGAGGCCCTATCTGACCCTTATCCCTTTTCTTGTACATCCAGCATTAAGGCTATTTGGCCGAAACCCGTATGGACGATTGTACCATTCCTATTTCCCCCAATGTATTATCATGTGCTGGGAGCCCGGGTTCATTCTTGTAGGATGATTTTTTCTAATGACAGTAGTGAACCTCAATAGATTATCCTTGTTCAATCCCATTTTTATCCTTTCCTTTGAATCGGAAACCACGGTTGAAGTTTGTTTAGAATAGATATAATTATTTAAAGGGATAAGGGTCAGATAGGGTCTCGAACTCGAAAAAAAATGTCAAATAAGGTCATATTTCGGATGCTCTGTCTTGCCGACGCCATTTGGGGCGGTTCCCGATGGAATTTTTTGATGAAATTTTTTGAGCATCTTCCTCATTAAGTCTAGTTTACCCATACCAAATTTCAGCTAAAAATTCAACCGGGAAGGTAGTCAAATAATTTTCCGAAATGTACGGCGTTGTTTAACTTCACAGTTATCTTCAAAAACTCATTTGACTACCTTCCCGGTTGAGTTTTTAGCTGAAATTTGGTATGGGTAAACTAGACTTAATGAGGAAGATGCTCAAAAAATTTTATCAAAAAATTCCATCAGGAACCGCCCCAAATGGCGTCGGCCAGACAGAGCATCCGAAATATGACCTTATTTGACATTTTTTTTCGAGTTCGAGGCCCTATCTGACCCTTATCCCTTATTTAAACAATATGAACTACAATGTTTAATCTATCCTTGAAAAAGAGAATGGCTATAAAAAGGAGACAATAGAAGTACAACATGATGGTTTGCCTATGATATCCTTTTTCTTAAGATTGGACAATTGGAGCTTGGTAAGTTTTGTCTTAATTTTCTCCTTCCTTACTATAATAAGTGATCTTATTTTTCTTATAATCAAGCTCGGATGCATTAAGTTTTCATCTCCCATTCTGTTATTGTGCTTTCTATTACCATTGTATTCCATATGTCAACATTCAACAAAACATATCCATAAAATTACGAGAACATATTCATAAAACCTCAAAACCTTAGTTTTCCTTCTTTTCAAAGTTCCTAATTTTTGGATGGGGTAGTGGTTTATGATTAATAGAATACATTACAAAAAAAAACATAGAAAGATATCTTCTCCCCCAAATTTCCCAGTCTTTAACATTCCACTACAGTAAGCCAACTTGTGTTGTGTGCCATTCATTCATCCCCTCAATCATGATTGTGTCTGCCAGCAGTACCATGACCATAAATGAACCTTGCACTGCCTTCTGTATAAACATGACTCTCATTGTCCAATCTACAACAACATCCATTTCAATTGAGCATTAGTTAACTAACAACTATCACCCAAATATCGGAAACAAAACCGGTCGAATGGTCCTAAACCGTAACCTGTACAAGTAAACAGTTACTATCTAGTCCGGTTCCACCAAAATAGGACAAAAACGTATCGGTACCAATACGGTTTTTTTTTAGCTCAAGAAAGAACCCAACCAAATCTGGAACCGTTATTCTACCTGAGCATAGCCGAACCAGAATTACTGGTTCCTATATTTAGGGATACCAGAATTGGCTGGTTTAGAACTGACTTGTGTACCCCCTAACAAGAATTTATAAAAGTAGGCATTAAGATTTAACAGTAAAACACAACCATGGTGTGAATAAAAGTATCCTTACGATCTTCGAACCGCTTTGCATAAGACTGATGCAGATGAGAATGTCTTCCCATCAAGATATTTGTTCTCCCCTTTCACCCTCTGAGTAATTCTCTTGTCTATTTCATCCACACTCACCTCAAATGGGGTGTCAGACGCCTGCCGTTTTATGTTGTATTTCTCATAATCAGCCAACTTTTATTCAAATATTTTTCTTAAACAAAAATGTTGAATCCTACAGAGGAATTAAGATAGTAAGTACCATAACCCATCCCCACGTGTCAGCATATGAAGGTACATGAGCAGAATAAGGCACCACATCTGCACATAAAAAATGTTTATTTTTCATCATGAGACTTTGTAATCTGTATTATGTAGAAACAAATAAAAGACATATAAGAGTTAATGTGTCGAATGTGTTAAGAATAGATGTAGATTCTAGCTTAACTCTAGAAAGAACTCTAGATTAAGAAGTCCTTTCCCTTCAAAAAAAAAAGAAGTCCTTAAATGCATATTTAACCGAAATGAGATGACTCCCACAATTGAAAACTTACATTTGAAAACCTGTTTGAGAGTATTGTAGATGCAAGAGAAAACCTCGGTGTGGCTAAAAATCCCAGCAGGTCCTGCCTGTAACATGTCAAGAGTATATGATATTCCACAAACTCTACCTCGGTGTGGCTAAAAGATGATGAAAATATTTCGGTTTAAAAATGAATGAAATGTGTTGTGTGTGTGTGTGTGTGTTTGTGTGTGTAGCACCTACCTGTGTGACAAATATGCCATCTTTATTGAGCCTTGGTTTGACAGTGGTTTCATAAAAGGATTTAGTGTAAAGTTGATAGCATGGACCTCCTTCAATGGGGTCTGCTAAGTCTCCAATGATCACATCATACATCTCTTTGCACTTTTTAAGCTCTCCTCTGCACATACCATGCACAACACTTTCATTTTTTCAGGACAAAATTATGTAATTACACTAGAAAATTATTAAAAAGAATGACACAATTCACTATGAGCATGGGAGGAGGAAAAATACCTTGCATCATTGATAACAAGATCAAGTCTTGTGTCAGCGAATGCTTCCTTGTTAACCACCAAATATGACTTGCAGAAGTCCACCACTTCCTGTAGAAATATATTGTTAAGTCTATCCACATGGATAAAATATTGCTAAATCAGCATCAAAATCTCTCATCTACTTTTAATATCCCTTTGGTAACCCGTTTTTTGGCATATCGCCATTTTTTGGTAACCCACTTTTTATTTTGCACTCTGAATTGTAACCAAAATAACTAATGCTATATGTATTTTTATAACTGCATTTGCTAAAAGGAAAAGTTTAGCTCCTTTTCATATAGTTCTTTGACTTCTTTACTTTGTTAAAAAAATATAATCATTTTTAGACTCAGCCACAACTTCAACAGTTTTAGCACATTCAACTAATTCTAGTGTACCCAAAGCTGTTACTGGCTTACCTCTTATGATGAAATGGTAAGTGTTAGACTTTCAGTACATATGTGATTGTCTAAACATACAATTTTTATTGAATTTAACACATGGAATCCGGAAAAAGTAGGGAATAGGGAAGGAGTTATCAATGGAAAACCTACCTGATCAATATCACACATGACAACCTTCTCTATTGTCTTGTGCCTCAGAATTTCTCTGGCTGTAGAACCTTCACCTCCACCCATTATGAAAACAGTTTTGGGACTGTAACAAAATTAACATTTATAATACAAACAACACAGGGTATACAAATAAATATGTAATTCATTTAATTAATTAAATTTACTTTGGATGATGAATCAACGGTGGATGAACAAGGCACTCATGGTAAATAAATTCATCAGTTTCAGCACTCTGCAATTTCCCATCAATGACTAGGGCCTGTTGTGTGTTTGTATATATGTTAGTCATTAAAAGAATGTTGAAAAATGATAATGACAAAAATAAAAACTATGGCGATATAACTATCTGAAGCTACCTAGCTACTTGTGTGTGTGTGTAATCAGTACAAACCTTTCCAAAGGGCTTTGTATCCAGAAGCTGAATGTCCTGGTACTGAGTAGCTCCAGTGTGTAATATGCTGTAGCAAAGAATTTTTTGTCAAATGTACATAAAACAGTAATTACAGCCATTGTTAATGAAGGCCCTGATTGTAACATGTCTTATGGACCTAATCTTTTTCTGTTATCTGCCTTATAACTTTATAAGACAATTGTTTTTACCAAATAGACAAACACCAAACTTTTAGTTTTGCGTGATAAATTGTACGGAGTAATAATCAAAGTAATGAAGTAAAATTGAAATTACTTTTATGACTAAATTTGATGGAAGACAAAACTTTATCGTATAATTTTTTGTTTGTTTTATTGATAAAGTACAGTTTAAATACAGAGTATATTTTTTTCGCTGTTTAGTTAGTTCAGTTGTTTAAACCATAATTTCAGTAGATTTAACCGGTTCAGCCAACTTTAATATTACAAAATGGGCTTAATGAAAATATGAAGTAGTAGTAGTCGTAACTCTTTACTCTTTGTTCTTGGATTGGTTTTCTTAAAGAAAGGAGTGTGTGTTCTCAAGTGTGCTTTCATGGAAAAAGCATAACATCTAGAAAAAGGTGAAAGAAACCACCCAACTTTCTGCACTTTGGTTGCACCAAGACAAGAGGAATGCTTTTTTACACCAAGACATAGTGCGAGTTGTTCATAAATCACACTTATAATTATGTGAAGGGCATGTTGTAGTGATTCACAACAGTGGCGTGCAAGTAAAAAATAATAATAATATTAAAAAACGATGACACCCCATCATTGAAGGCTCCGTTTCCAATTAATCCTTTTGAGTTAAATTTGGGAACTCTTCCTTGTGACACCCGCATCCTACCTGAGTACCTGGCGACCTATGCTCCCGGTAATAATAATATTATTACCATACAACTTAGTGCACAAAATAACCCATTCAGATGAAAAATACTCACTCCTTCAATTCCCATTAAATTCTTCTCGGTTTGACTTGGATCAAAGTTGAAGAAAGTGACAATGGAGTGAAAATATATGGTCGTGATTGAGCAAGAAAAATGTAAATGAATATTAGCCTACAATACTTTCTAAAAATGGAAATGCGAAGAATTTTTTGGGACATGTTTCTACGACATTGGCTCGGCCAATTTACGTGGATCTTTAGTGAATCAACAAACATGTCTCCACCACATTGGCGCTTTAAAAGGACTGAAAAATAATTAGAGTTTGTTTACTTCCTTGGGGTCAGTTTGGAACCATAAACATAATTTGAATTATATAGTCATTAGATTGAGAGGTGAATGAGAAAAAATACATATATAATTAGTAAAGTATTAGAGAGAAAACATACCTATTAAGAGCAAAACACCACCTCAAGTCTTTGTCAATCTCCTCCTCGTACCAACAGCTCTTTCTTTGTCCGTTCCCATTGCTGCTGAATTCACATCCCAACCCAATTTCACCCATTCTTTCTTTCTTTCTTTTTTGACGACAATAAAGTAAATAATATATCAAGGTTCTAGCTAGCTAGAGATTTACTACTACGTACGTATAGTACTTTGAGCGGGAGGAAACAATATAATACGTGACAATATTAATGTCCCAAAATCCCAAATTAAAGGGTGTGGCTCACAAATAAATGTTTGGAGGGACATATATATATATATATATAATACCAAGGAATGAAGTGGAGGAAATCCAATACCATAAGATAATCATTACATACAAATACTAGTGCTGGTTGTTAGCCACTACAGAAATTTGATTATTTATTAATATATAATTAACGTTTCTAATGTAACCCAATAATAATCATGTCTAGATGGTTTGCATCCCCAAACGCAACGCCCGGCCCCCACATGCATGTTCTATAGAATGTTAATAAATAAATTATAGCTCCCATTCTTCTGAGTGTTGGGAATTTGGATTAAATGGTAATAATGGAGATCGCATGGAGGAGGATGGTTGCGATGATGACGACGCTATACTAAGCACGCCGATAGATGGATTTTCCTCTTTTGAGCAAACTCAACCCAACTGGTGGTGTTAATGATGTATCACATAGCATGCCATCTTAGCTAACTTCCTCCCACTTGTGATTCATAGTGAGCATGCATAGTAACATGTGTGGACATATTTTTTTTTATTTTGTTTCAGTAACAGGATGATGTAACTCGTGTGTAAAGAATGTAAATCAAGTTGATGAGGATCGTAACTGCGGGTCTCAGTCGAAATGTAATTTAATTTGTCTAATATGAAGTATAAGAAATAAAACATTGTTGAGGCAAATCCAAATGTTTATTTTGTGATGTAATTCGTGTTATGGCAAATGCAACTCGCGTTGGAAAGTGTAACTTATGTGTTTGCAAAATGCAATTTGTTGAGGCAAATCCAAATGTAACTTGCGCATAAAAAATGTAATTTGTGCATAAAAGACATGTAACTTGCATATGTATGGGAAGATGTAACTCGCGCACATGAAGATGTAAATTGCGCATAGAAGGATGTAACTCGCGCATAAGATGTAACTAGTGCATTAAAAGATGTAACTCACACATAAGAAGTTGTAATTCGCCTTTAAAAAGATGTAATTTGTATTTAAAAAGATGCAACTCATTCATAAGAAGACGTAACTCCATATATTATCAAATGTAAATCTAGGAATCAAAATAAACAAAATAAATGTCTTAAAAGACCTCTAAAACATATAAAGGAGATGAAATGCACTCCGTATATTATACTCCGTAGAAAATTAAAAGTGTGAATATAAAAAATTTATTACAATTTGCCAAAAAAAATGTATTGCTAAAAAAGTGTGAAAATAAAATATATTACATAAATAACAATAGTGTATGAATATGAAATGCAATATACTTATTTTATTTAGATTAATAATTTTTTTGTTATGAATTAATAAATAATTAAAAAAATATTAATTCAAGTTGAAGATAAAGAAAAGTAAAATTGCAATTAAATTTTTAGTATTTTGATGGAGAAGAAGAAAAGAACTGAAAAAAAGAAAAGAAGAAGAAGGAGAATTGAAGTCAAGGGAAAAGAAAAATTATGCTCTCGGGAAGAAAAAAGCTAGTGCAAAAACGTTATAGTGAGATCGATACAACGAGCGCACGCTGTAACGATCCCACAATATAATTTGCCTCCTCCCACTATCCTTTGCACACAGAGATGTAGTCGAGATTCCACCTCATTCCAAATTTCAATTTTTTCCTTGAGTATATGGGTAAAAAGTTCATGTGGATTTTTTTAGAAAAAAATCTTTGTAGCAACTATGTCCAAATATATACACATCTTCACTAATACAAAAAGTGTTTATTGTAGTATCCATTTTTGTAAAACTGTCGAAAATTGCTACAATATAAAATATATTGTACCGATAAATGCTACAATGAAATAATAAATTGCTACAATATATCTATTGTAACATCAGTCGGATGCAGTCATGCAGCATACTAAAAAATGCTACACTTAATGCATTGTGACATTTTTGACACCTATTACAAAAAAGGATGTTACAAAAGATATACTTTGTGGCAGTGCTTCATGATCACACCTATTTGCACAACCAAATTCTCAAAAAAAAAATGACTATTTCATTTGGATTATTTTACTTTTTTATGGGTTCTAATTTCTAAATGATTGTCTTGTTCGAAACAAAAATGTGTTTCATATCATTTCACTTTAATTTATCATACTTAAATCTGAACTGCAACTTTTACTTTTAAATCATTTTATTAATAATTATGTTAAAATAAAGAAATATATCCAACAGTCAACTTTTCACGTTTGTCGATGCACAACTTTGACCATTAATATATTTAATTCTATATTATTAACAAAAATTAAAGAAATTAGATTTTGAAAATTTACAATGTGACAAATTTAAAAATATTTTTATAAAAATAATTTATTAATATATCAATAAATAAAACGTAGTCAAAGTAGCACATGTGAAAATTGTAAAATTCAATATGTTGCATTTATGTAAGAACGGAGAATATGACCAAGATAGCACGACAACTCATGTAGTAGTGTGTATTTGTTTAGTGGGAATTGAATATCCTAATATACACACAACCACGGGCTCCATTTGATATTTCATGATATATCGTGTGAGTGGGGCATTGAAAATGGGGAAATAGGCAGAGGGTAAATATTAAATCAACCATGTTTCGTGTACACGTTAGTTATACACAATATTTTACATGTCAGTCATATTATCTGTGCACATACAATGTTTTTCGTTTTGTGAAAAAGAATTGTTTTTTTGCACAGACAAAAAAATTTACTTGTGTCACAGACAAAAAATTGTCGGTGTGAAAAATGATTCTCTTCACAAAGCGAAAAAAATTGTTTGGCACAAACAATTTGATTGATATGTAAAATGTCGTGTACAACTTGACATATATCAACATTTCTCATACTAAATGCTACTAGTATAGTACTATGCCTCTAATTTGTCAAATCGGTCATTATACTTTATACTAAAATTCAATTAAGACCACGTACTTTAAATTTAATCAATTATGCCCTCATATAATGTAATTTTGTCAATACCATGTGGACTGACACAGCACACACATGACGGACCACATCAATTTTTCCTTTCTTTTCCATATTCTTTTCTTTTTCCTTTTTCCTTTCCTTTCTCTTTCCATGTTCCCCCTTCTTCTTCCTTGTGCGCTTTGCTGGTGGGCGTAGCTAAACTGGTAGATAGAGAGTACCACAAGGGGTAAGTTTCGGGCTCTAATCCTGATAACTGCAATGAGATGTCACTATATATGTAAAAATGCATAGGACTTCTGCAAGTACCTAGACCAGAGTCTCATTCGCTATTTGTAAGCTTGTGATTGAAATCTACATCCTCCCAATTAATTATATTGTCCGTTCGATGTTGGAGGTCCTCAGGGATGTGGTGTCATCCTTTTTTTCTTCCTTGCGTAGACACAAGACATTTGCAGAAGACAAGGACAAAGTCATCACTGAGCGGGCGTTGGTCCCTTTGAAAGGAAACAACCTTCCCTTGGAGAAGAGCTCGTCGGTAGCCATGGTCATGGGCACACAGTTGGATGTAGAAAAATTCAAAATCAGGTGAAACGGGGGCATCTCTATAGTTGGACATCTCGTTCTTGATGAAGTGGGGGTAATAGTGGCCGTTGCCTTTGCCGATGCTGGATTCTACGAAGTCATTGGTGAAAGAGATGCAATGAGCTCATCAGAGCATCCATGGGTGGCGGTTTGCGATTGGAGTTTTGGTTGTTGAATTGTTGTAATTGTACATGAAGATGATGGTGTGTAAGCTTGCAATGGATGGTAAGGGGTCTTTAGACCACATTAGGGCAAAAGCACCCATCTAGCCAACCTGAGGAAAAGTGTTAGTCACCCATCTAATTAACCAACCTAAGGAAAAAGGAAAAAGAAAACGAAAAGAAAAAAAAAGAAGGAAAAAGTTATGTGGGTTGCCACGTGTGTGTCGTGCCGGGTCATGTGTACACCCCGTCAGCGGGGTAACCTCCCGATCGGTGACTTATATGTCGAAATCAGTTTTGACGAAAAATACACAATAGGAGAGCATAATTGATGAAAGATAAAATGTATAGATTTAATTGACTTTTCGTACAAATTAAAAGTCTCGATTTGACACTTTCCTCTATATTATACTCCGATAACATTTTCCACGCACATACAACTGCGTAGTACCACGTATCAAGTATTGAAGTGATTATTTATTTCATACTACGGGGTATATGTCAAATACAAAAATAATAAAGTAACACAAAGGTCTTATATTACTCCTCCTATTCTTTTATTAGGTTGAACTTTCTATATATGTAAATGTGTATATATGCCCGCATATGTGTGTGTGTATTTTACACTTTTAAATGATAAATTAATCATCATATATTAAACACCATACACATATAACATCACAATTTTCATCAATGATCTCAAAATGTTATATACTCATACTCCTTATGTCCCTTATAACTTTGCCAATTTTTCTTTTTTGGATGTCTCATTAGCTTTGTCACTTTCCTATTTAAGTAAAGAATTTGTGATTCCAGTTAATTATCTCTCCTCTGCACAAATCTCAACAACACAGTTTTTACTTTATTAATCCTCGTGACAGTCAACTTGGCAAATTTATTAGGGGCGGAAGAAGTAATTAAATACGTAGTAATTATATTATTTAAATTTTGTCCAAATAATCATACCATTTTTCAATGAGAAACTTAAGGTGAGGCGTAGGTAGTAGAACATAACCATATGGAGTTTTTTTCCGTATTAATGCTAATTAATTAAGTATTTACGAAAATAGGGTCGGGTTAAAAGTATTTACGGATATACTGCTGGGCCATCCGGTTGGGCGACTTATAAGTCGCCCAACGGTTTGGCGACTTACCCATAAATTAAAATACCGGGTTAAACAAAAAAAAAAAGAGGGGCAAAATTGTCTTTTGAAACCCGTTGAATTTTATGACTATCGTGTCCGCAGGTCGCCCACGCAGGAGGGGTGCGAATTTTCGATTTTGAACTGAAAGCCGGAATTCTTGTGTGCGCGAGAGCTCCCCTATTCTCCTTCACCTTTTAATTCTAAGAGAGGAGTGGTTCA